TCTCTCTCTCTCTCTCTCTCTCTCTCTCTCTCTCTCTCTCTCTCTCTCTCCTAGAAATAAATAAAACATTATAAAAAAATAAAAAAAATAAAAAAATAAAACAGAGGAGTTTATAAATGAAGTTTCTCAGATCCCAGACCTACAGATTCAGCAGGTAGAAGGTGGATCTTCAGAGCCTGGATTTTAACAAGCTCCTCCAGCAGTTCTGATGTGGGTGGTTGGGGATCACAACTGGAGAAACATCAGTAGATGACAAAGTTAGGGAGTGTGTAAGGCTCTGCAGACAGGTGCTCAAGGAACCTTCTGGAAGAACCTCCAGATTCAAGAGAAGATCTGAGCTGCTTGAGGTGTTGTGAAGAGGAGGAGGTTTGGTGAGTAATGTGTGAAAATCCATCTTGAGAAGGTCACCTTTCACCCTTCTCCCAGCTGCTGAAGACGAAGAATTATTGAAAGCCATTCAACGCCAACAGCATGCTTTGAGAAGAGTGAAGAGACGAGAAAAACAATTTACAGGTAATACAAATACCCAGGGACCTTCTGGGCGTGAAACCAGGACACCCTGGAGAGGGTGCACGCAGGTCGGCCTCAGTGGAAACATGCCCTTGCATCCCTAAAAAGGCTGGGTCTGGGAGGTGGAGGGCAGGGCCAGAAGCAGAAATCCAGAGATCTTGTCTCCAGTGAAAGGAGCATAAAGGAATTTTCAGTGTGTTGTTAAAAATCACAGAGATAACCCTTCTTGGCCAAGGTCAAGTCAGGAAAACAGAAACTGCACTAGGAACATGGGGCAGAGGGAATTTTCATACAGGGCACTCTTCTCAGAGGTGTTTCAAGAGTTGAACACAGAAAAGTGAGAAAACCCAGAGATTAAGCACTGCTGGAAGCCACTACCCTCCCTGGAGTCAGAGCTGGAGGGACTGTGGAGCAAAGCGGGGTGAGCAGAGCCTGCAGAGACTGGACATGGAGGGGCAGAAATGGGGAGAAATACCCCAGCTCCTCCCCTCTTTCAGCCTGTGGATGCTGTTGCTCAAACCTAACCAGATGATAAGCAAGGCATCCTGGAAAATGTAGTTTGGAAAGGTCAGTGCACTGTGGTTCAGAACAAAAAAAGAATAGGAGGGAATCTTCGAGCCAGCAAGTAAGTGACCAGTGCAATCCTAGTGACCACATGTCCAGACGTCCCCAGCTTGCCTCTGTTGTCCTGGAGCCATTATAAATAGTGCCTCCTTTCCTCCCCCAACTGTTCTGATTGAGATAATAAATTATTTGGTCAGTCCACCAGTGTAGAGAAAATGAGAATAAGATATAATTATATCGATAAGGGAAGAAAGGCAAGATTTAATATGGGAGGAAGGCAGGGAGAAAGGGAGGAAGGGAGAGAGGAAGAAGGAAGAGAAAACTGGGTTTCATTTTTTAAAATATGTATTTATTTTGAGAGAGAGAGAGAGAGAGAGAGAGCATGTGCACAAGCTGGGGAGGGGCAGAGAGAGAGAATCCGAAGCAGGCTCCACACTGTCAGCACAGAGCCTGACTCAAGAACTCTGAGATCATGACCTGTGCCGAAATCAAGAATCAGACATTTAACCAACTGAGCCACTCAGGCACCCCCGTTTTTTTATTCAGAAAAAATAAATAACTGCAAGACAGAAGCAGGAAAGGAGGTGGCATAGCCAGCCCACAGAGTAGATGCTCAGCATATGTTGATGAGTGATGCCAGTAACTAAATGCCTCCCCATGAGCTCCCCCTGCAGCTCATCATCTGCCCACAGGTAGACAAGAGAAGGAAGCACAAATCCAATGGCTCATTTTGTAGCTGTCACCAAAGGCTGGGCTGGGGAAGGGAGAGAAGTTCTCAGAAGACTCCAGGCTGGGCTGGGGAAGGGAGAGAAGTTCTCAGAAGACTCCAGAGGCCCCGGCGGGAACTAGAACTGCCTGGCGCCGGGGGCTGGGGCTACCTATGACCAGGTGCCAGGGGGACTGCTGTGCACACCCTGGAAAGCTAGCTGCTCCCAGACAGCTGGACCCTAGGACCATCCTGAGGCTGGAAAGAAGGGCAGAACTTCTTTTTTTTTAATGTTTATCTATTTTTGAGAGAGAGAGAGACAGAGAGACAGAATGTGAGCAGCGGAGGGTCAGAGAGAGAGGGAGGCACAGAATCCAAAGGAGAATCCAGGCTCTGAGCTGTAAGCCTGAGAAGCAGGGCTCAAACCTACAAACTATGAGATCATGACCTGAGCTGAAGTCAGCCGCTTAACCAACTGAGCCACTCAGGTACCCCAGAAGGGCAGAACTTCTGAAGCCCAAGGTCCTTCTCGGGCCCCTGCAGACTGACAGCATTCTAAGAAGCTGCCCAGGTGGGAATGGTGTTTTCCCTCCTTCTCCGACGGAACAGGGGGTAGCTGGCATGGAGAGTTAGAGTACAGGGTTTGAAATCACACTGTCAGGGTTTGAATCTCCTTCTGCTCCTTCCTCACTGTGGAAGTCACTCAACCTCTGGGAGCCTCAGTTTCTTAATCTGTAAAATAGGAACTTATCAGTGCCTATCTATAGAGCAGGGCTTTCATAGAGCTGTTGGGGGTTAATATCAGTTCACCATGCAAAGCACTCCCAGGCATTTGGCATATGTTAATGTGGACTGCTAGAGTTGGTAATTAGGCTCCTTGAAACCTGCATTCTCCCTCCCTCCAAAGGGCCTAGCTGGGGTCTGTCCCTTCTCCAAGACTGTGAGGGGAGAGGAAAGTCCTGTCTCCCTCTCAGCTGCTCAGGGGTGAAAAGTGGGCATCCCACTTTGAGTTTACAGAACTAAGTAACATCTAAGGGGCTCTTGTCTCAGGCAAGTGCTCAGGGTCACCTGGGAATGGGCAAGGGTGAGGTGGCAATGCGGGAGGCTGTCAGGGTCAGGAATGAGCTGTGGAGTCACCAGAGCTGGGGAGCTTGGTTCTACTACCTGAGCCTCAGTTTCCCTAAATGCAAAGCAGCCAACTGGGTGCTGCCCTAGCAGGTCTCGTGCAGGGCCTGAGAACAAGTGGAGGTGGGAAGGAGGTGGACAACGGTATGGCCCAGGTCAGATCCCAGGAGAAGGAAGCTCTGGAGTGGGAATCAGACCTGAGTCAGGCCCCTGAGAAGGAGGGCCGGGCTTTTGTGTCTTGTATAAGTGAGTCATTGGAAGGAGCTGTAACCTCCCCAATGAGAAGGCTCCAGTTGGCTGAAGTCATTTCTCTGGAGAAGGGAGCCATTAGTGACCAGCACTCACAGCAGCTGGTGGATGGGTTCAGCCCATCAAAGGGGATCTGGCTGGCTGAACAAGTATCTGAAAAGCACTCATAACAGAACTGTGGCCACCACACAGTACTCACAAGAAGGACTCTTTCTCCGCAGATGGCTGCTCCTCCCACAACACAGCCATGGCTGTTGCAGCCCTGGGTGGCTTCCTCTATGTCCTGGCGGAATACCCCCAGCAAATGGAGAGCTGTGGCCATCCACACTGGCGCCACCCAGCAGCCACTGAGACAAATGTTTCCACTCCTGCCACTGGAAGATAAAACAGATGTCTTTACTGCTTCCTCCCTTAAACCCTGGGGACCAGGAGGCAGCTGAAGATACAGAGTCAACAAGCAACCCAGCTTCATCTCTGCAGGGATCAGGGCCAGGGAAGGTGAGGCTGGGATGGATCCAGGCATGGAAGCAGAGAAATAAATTCAGAGTGCAGTCGAGTGGGGAGTCGAGTCTTGTTTCTCAGCCGTGTGGACAGCTTCTGTTTCAAGTCACAACACAAATTCCAAGGAGACCCATGAACTTGAGTCTTAAAGGCACTCAGTTGAGACATCAACTGTTGCATCTTTCCCAGTGGGAGAAATAAGGGTCTCTGACTAACAGGTGGAGTCATGACCAAATTTGAGATCTGACCATGAAAAGCAACACATAAAATCTTTGTGTCCATGCAAGGAACTCTACACTATCATGTCACATCCTGTCACACTTTGTCATTTTACAAAAGGCAGTGTGACACAATGGTTTAGGATGCTGTTCTGTGCCCAGGCTGCCTTGGGTCCAAGTCCCAGCTGCCCGCTAATTAGCTCCGTGTCCTTGGGCAAAGTCATTTAGCATCTCTGTGGCTCTGTATCCTTGGGCAAAGTCATTTAACATCTCTGTGACTGTTTCCTCATCAGTACAATTGGGATAATTACACCACCTACCTTAGGATTACTTGGAGTGCTATGAGAATCATATTTGTAGGGAACTCAGAATAACTCCTGTAACATAAATACCAGGTGACTGTTCTCTGCTTATACTTCCCTCCTGTTCTGCTTCAGTGTGAGTATATCTAAACATGTCAGCTAGAGTTCCTTTTAGTTTTCAATGATTTATTTATTTTGTTGAGTACAGCTGACATATAATCTGCTGAAGCTCTGACACTAATCTAGTGTTCAAGGAAAGACCTTCTGGAATGTTATCACCGGTCCAGGCACTATCTGTGCTGCAGATTTTGGGCTACATGCAGACACATGTCAAAATGAGACTCTGGGGTAGGAAAATCAGCTAAAAACAGTCCTTGGGCTGGATGGTTCTTTAAGTCCATCATCTTGCTTTGCCTCAAAGTGAAAAGTAGCTACTGATGGTCCTGATGTGATCATTTGGTTGTATTTGAGAAGCTGAATTAAACCACCCAGCCTCCTTCTGTGCTCAGCCAAATAACTTGGTGGGGGAAGTGGTTCTTCTAAATCTTTCTCCTGGGAGTTAGTCTCCTCTGTCTAATCTTCTTTGCTGGTGCCCCTGGATGCTTTCCTGGAAATGCTCTTAAATTGTCAGGCATGCAGAAACGGCCCTGGATTTTGCTGATAAGTTTGACTTACTTTTGAGTTGCTAGCTTTCTTGGGGAACCAAGGGCCAGAATTTAATACCCACCTGGCACTCCATATGCTTCAAGGATTTCTTCCACACTGCCCCACAAACCAGTTTTACCAAGAGAGGCACACAGCCTAGAGAGAGGTGGGGGTAACACAGCAGATTAGGAGGGGATTATGCCCCCCACCCCGTCCTTCCTGAATTCAGGATGGATTAGTCACTGGAGCCTGACACTGATACATGTTTAGAAGGTTTAAGTTGCCAAACTAGGGCAGGGGTGCAGGGGGAGGGGGGGGAAGACTAGCAGAAATCTGGGTTTAGAAGTCACTTTCAGGAAAAGAGAATCCTAATGCAGAATTGGACATGGGAAGAAAAATTTGCAAGATGAATCCCCTCTGAACTGTGACTTCTCCTTTGGGTTACAGTTGCTATAGGGCACCGAGAAGAGGTAAAAACACTGAAGGATGAGTCTCTGTATCACTCCCGCACCTCAGACTTCAGCCTCTTATGGAAGATGAATCATGTGAGGAATTTAACACAATGTGGAAGTGGGCCTTCATTTCCCATATTTTTGGGGTTTTTTTTTAATGTTTATTTTGAGAGAGAGAGAGAGCGTGCACGAAGGGACAGGGCAAAGAGAGAGAGAGAATCCCAAGCAAGCTCTACACTGACAGCGCATAGCCCAACACAGGGCTCAAACCCACAAATCATGAGATTATGACCTGAGCCAGAACCAAGAGTCACATGCTCCGCCACCCAGTACCAGCTCACTGCCTTCCTAGAGGAGTTTCTCACTGTGTGGCCTGTGGCTACTGGCATCAGAACCAGCTGAGGAACCTTGTTAAACATGCAAATTCCCTAGCCCTGCCTCTAGAAATTCTCATTCAGCCACCACTGTGAGGGGGTCTGGGAAAGTGCTTCCTTGACATGCTCCCAAGGGATACTGATGCTTGTCAAGACTGAGAACAGTGGGGTCCCCAAGGCCTGGACCTGTATGACATCAGGGGGTATCTACAGTTAGAGAAGGGGCACATTGAAGACAGTGGCCTTGATCGTGTACATTCAGAGGCATAACTAATGTCCCTTCCATCACATGCTCCTCTACCCTGCAAGATTCTTTTGGGTCGTCTAGAAATTAAGTTGACATGAGACAGATTAATAGAAGAAAAAAAAGTTCAATAACATGCATACTGCCTGTATAGGCAGGGGAGACCCAGGAAAACTGAGTAACTCCCCACAGTGACTTAAGCTATCACTTTAAATACCATCTCCAGCTAAAGACAAAAGAAGGTGTTGGGAATGGAGAGTCAGTTATAAGAGGCTCCTGGGGAAAGCCCAGCAAAGAAGAGTAGATTTAAGTCCATGCTGTCTCTACTGATAACAATTTCTGGAGATTTCGAGTCATCCATCCCCCTCTTCCTGGTTATGAGAGAGATGCCCTTACAAATGGTGTTTCCCTTATATGTGTAAATATCGCTTACAAAAGGGTGAGTTCTCAGTTTTCAGAGCATCTTTTGTGTCTTCAGTTTCTTAAAAATAACCAGCTTAAAATAATCAGTGTGCCAAAGAGGCATATCTTGGAGTGGCAAAATTTGCTCCCCTACACCGTCCTCAATGCTCACACTCATCCACTGTGATTTTAGGTGCTCCAGCAATGTTACTGTCAAAAGTGTGTTCCATATAGGCCTCTTGCTCAAGATAAACAATTTAACTAAAAAAGACTAATTCTCGTTAATAAATCACTGTGTCTTTAAAGCTTTTCCCTTTAAGATGTAAACACGTACAGGAAAACTTGTGGACTCAAGCTTCAGAACCAGCTGCCTCCTCTGCTTACAGAGGTGTGTGACCATGGGTCAGTAGCTTGCTTTCTCTGTGCCTCCATTTCCTTTTCCGTATAACCGGTATCACAATAACACCCACCTTTAGGATTCCGAAGATCTGATAAAATACTGCAGGCTGGCCCCAATCTGATAAAATAGTGCGGGCTGGCCCCTCACACAGTGCCTGAGACTTAAATGAGCTCAGTGGCTACTAGCAGTGAATGAGTTTTCTCAGAAAACCCAGGATCCACACCATCTCCCCCTCTGGGGTTTTATCAGTCACCTATTATTTACTGGCAAATGACATCATTCCCAGTGAAATAACACATCCATTCATTCAATAAATAGTAGCAGAGAACCTTCTGTGTGCTAGGCTGTCCTCTAGACAAGGGAGATCCAGCTGAGAACAAACAAGGACCCTGTTCCCATCATTTATTTAAGAAATATCCATGAAGTACCTACTTTGCCCCAAGGACTATGCCAAGTGCCAGGGGAAAGCAGTGAAACGCAGACACGATCTCTGTCCTCAGAGATGACTGTCAAGGTGGGAGAGACATTAAGAAACAGTTATAAACAGGGGGCTCCTGTCTGGCTCAGTTGGAGCACACGACTCTTGATCTCGGGGTTCTGAGCTCGAACCCCATGTTGGTTGTAGAGATTACTTAAAAATAAAACCTGAAAAAAAAAGAAAGAAAAGAAACAGTTATAATCAAGCAGATCGCACTTGTGGTGGGAAAGATGGGGTGCACTCCTTAGACATGGTATTCTTTCCCTCAACCGATAAGCTGACAGTAATGCATAAGCATTGTTTGTGCTCCGGATTTCTGAAAGAAACACAAAATATTTGTTATATTCCATGTCGTGACAGAGCTTAGAGCTCTGCATGAAAAAAATAAGCAGCAACAGAAGATGCATCTTTGGGAAATGTATGCTCAAAAGGTGAAGAAGGTGGATAAGCACAGAGGCAGTGTGTGGACAGAGGACAGAGGAGGAGGTCCAATCCCCAACCCCCATCCGTTCAGCATCTAGTTTCAAACCCTCTCATGTCACTTGCAATCACCCCCTGCTCCCAGCCACAGCCACAGGCAACCACTACTCTGCGTTCTGTCCTCCCAGATTCGCCTTTTCCAGACCTTGAAGACAAATGGAAACACACAACAGAACTTCTGGGAATGATGAAAATGTCCTAAAATTGGACTAAGGTATGCTGAGATATCTCTGCAACATATACTAAAAGTGATTAACACATACACTTTAAAATAGTTAAATTTTATGGTATGTAAATTACACCTCAATAAAACCATTACATTAAAAAAACAAAAAACAAGATCTTCCAGTAGTTTCCTGTTTCCACTTAGTTCCAATTAGGCTGAAATCCAAACAATTTCCCTGGAGCCCTGCAAGACCTCGCATTGGCCTGGCCCTCTCCCCTCTCCCCTTCCCTATCAAGCTCCAGCCCAGCTCCAGGCTCTACAGTGCCCTCTGCCTGCGAGGCTCAAGCCCTGCATCTCCCATAGCTGTCGCTTTTTTCTGACCCCTTAGTATTTAGGCTGCATGGGCTTACAGAGGCTTTCCCTGCCACCTCCCCCCAAGACATGGTTCTTTCTCCATCCTGCTTCTTCCCACCACCCTTGAGTTGTTTAGTGTCTGTCTCCACGAGGGCAGTGCGAAGCCGTCTGTTTCATCAGCATCTAGCACATGGAAGGAGCTCAATCTGTTGAATTCACAAATGACTATAGAACCAGATAAGGATGCTGGGAAGAGACAAAGGTACTCCTAAAGAAGGATAAATGTCACTGGGTGTTATATGGACACCAACTTGACAATAAATTATATTTTTAAAAAAAAAGGGTAAATGTGAGCAGAGGAGACAGCCCTGAGTTAGTTAGCTGGTATGGTTGGAACAGTGGGCTTGGGCTAGTTGAAAGATAAACTGAGGCATATTAAAAATATTAAGGGTTTATTTGAACAAAAATCAATTCAAATCCAGCAGTACCAAGTTGAAGTGGATAGGAGCCA